AATTGAGCTTGGGACCCTTCAGTCTGCAGGCTGACTCTCTATCCACTGAGCCAAACTGGCTAGGGCAGTGGTCGGCAAACTCATTAGTCAACAGAGCCGAATAGCAACAGTACAATGATTGAAATTTCTTTTTTTTTCTTTTCATTTTTTATTAAGGTATTAAATGTGTACATATCTTACCACTCCCATCCATGCCCTCACCCCCCAGTAATTTGACATTCTGTTTCTATCTATCTTTTTGCTCAACAGTTTATAATGTTCTTTATTATCCATAAATGAGTGAGGTCATGTGATATTTTTCTTTCATTGACTGGCTTATTTCACTCAGCATGATGTTCTCTAATTCTATCCAGGTTGCTGCAAATGGTGAGAATCCCTTCTTTTTCATAAAAAGCATAGTATTCCATTGTGTAGATGTACCATAGTTTTCTGATCCAGTCATCTGCTGACGGGCACGTAGGCTGTTTCCAAATCTTAGCTATTGTAAATTGTGCTGCTATGATCATAGGGGTGCATATATCCTTTCTTATTGGTGTTTCCAGTTTCTTAGGATATATTCCTAGGAGTGGGATCACTGGGTCAAATGGGAGTTCCATTTTCAGTTTTTTGAGAAAACTCCATACTGTTCTCCACAGTGGCTGCATCAGTCTGCATTTCCACCAGCAGTGCACGAGGGTTCCTTTTTCTCCACATCCTCACCAACACTTGTTGTTTATTGATTTGTTGATGATAGCCATTCTGGCCGGTATGAGATGATGCCGCATTGTTGTTTTGATTTGCATCTCTCGGATAATTAGTGACTTTGAGCATGTTGTTATGTATCTCTTGGCCTTTCTTCTGTCTTCTTTTGAAAAGATTCTATTTAGGCCCGTTGCCCATTTCTTTATTTGATCATTTATCTTCCTTTTATTAAGTTGTATAAGCTGCCTGTAAATACTGGAGATTAAACCTTTTATCAGTGATGACATTTGCAAATATGTTCTCCCATACACTGGAATTTCTTGTTGTTTTTGTTGATAGTTTCTTTTGCTGTGAGAAAGCTTTTTATTTTGATGTAGTCCCATTTGTTTATTTTCTCTCTAGTTTTCGTTGCCCGAGGGACAGTATCAATGAAGAAGTTCTTTCGGCATATGTCTGAGATTTTGCTGCTTGTGGATTCCTCTAGTATTTTTATGGTTTTCCGTTTTATGTTTAAGTCTTGTATCCATTTTGAGTTTATTTTTGTGTATGGTGTAAGTTGGTTATCTAGTTTCATTTTTTTGCATGTATCTGTCCAATTTTCCCAACACCATTTACTGAAGAGACTCCATTGTATGTTCATGCCTCCTTTGTCAAATATTAATTGAGCATAGTGATTTAAGTTGATATCTGGATTCTCTATTCTATTCCATTGGTCTATATGTCTGTTCTTGTGCCAGTACCATGCTTTGAGAACAGTTGCTTTGTAATACAGCTTGAAATCTGGTATTGAGATCTCTCCTGCTTTGTTCCTTCTCAGGATTGCTCTGGCTATTTGGGGTATTTTTTTATGCTAGATGAATTTCTGGAGAGTTCTTTCTAGGTCTGTGAAATATGCCTTTGATATTTTAATGGGGAGTGCATTGAATCTATAGATTGCTTTGGGTAGTATGGACATTTTAATGATGTTGATTCTACCTCTCCATGAACATGGTATATTCTTCCATTTGTTTACGTCTTCCTCTGTCTCTTTTGTCAGTGTCCTGTAGTTTACCGAGTATAGGTCTTTTACCTCCTTAGTTAAGTTTATTCTTAGGTATCTTAATTTTTTTGGTGCCATGTAAATGGGATTGCTTTTTTAGCCTCTCTTTCTGTAAGTTCACAATTAGTGTATAGAAAGGCCATAGATTTCTTGGCGTTAATTTTGTATCCTGCTACATTGCCGAATTTAATATTACGTCAGTTAGTTTTTTGATGGAGTCTTTTGGGTGAAATTTCTTTTGAGAGCCAAATTTTTTAAACTTCTTCTAACGCCACTTCTTCAAAATAGACTCGCCCAGGCCGTGGTATTTTGTGAAGAGCCACACTCAAGGGGTCAGAGAGCCGCACGTGGCTCTCAAGCTGTGGTTTGCCGACTGCTGGGCCAGGGCAGTGAGTGAGCTGATTTTAATGCGGAGACCCTGTCCAGGTGGAGACCATGAGGTGCCCTGCATGAAGCAACCATTCATGAAGCACCCACTGAACTCTCTGATGGGTGCCCGCAGGAGCCCACGGCCCCGTCGCTGCGGTCGGGGGTGGGGAGCGGTGTAGAGTCCAGGACAGCGCCCTGTGAGACGTGCCAGTGAAAGGAGGAGCCGCCCGTGGTCCCCCGCCCCTACCTGGACCTTCGTGCCACCCGCTCCCCTGTTTGTATGGGTGCTCCCGGCGGCCTGTGAGCTCCGATGGCTGCTCCTCAGCTGGCGGGGGGATGTCGCACGCACGCACCCCGCCGTGCAGCTATCCACTGCGGACAGGAGTGTCTCCACCTTTATTCCTACAGGAGCTTCATGTCCCTGCTGGCTGTAATCCCACAGCTGCTTTATCAGGTGGAAAATGGGAAGGTGAACATATCCATACAGTGGTCAGAAGTGTCTGTGTGTCTTCTAAGCATAAACGTGACCTCATTCAGGCACAGAGGGGAATCGGTGTGGGAAGCGGGAGTGGCGAGCTGTATCTCCACCAGGCGCTTTTCGGACCGAAATCCATTGGACTGTGCATCCTGTTATGAGGGAAAAGGACACGTGTGACACACACACACACACACACACACACACGGACCAGCGATTCTACTCGGGGAAACCCAGAAAACTGCAGCCAAAGCCACATGTGAGAAAGTCGATGGCCACACTCTGAGATATGACTCACACCTCCCTCCACGGGAGACGGGGTCTGCCGAGGCCACAGGGCGGAGTGTCACACGGCGGCGAAAACACACACACGGGCGCTCCCTGTGCGTGGACCACAGAAACACCACGAATGGTAAAACACATCGCGTGAGCGGTGAGTCTAATGTCCAGAGCCAGGGAGGGATGCCCTGGCCAGTGTGGCTCGGCGGTGAGAGCCAGCCCACTGGCCTAAGGTCTCGGGTTTGATTCCCAGTCAAGGGCCTGGACCGCAGGTGCAGGTTCAACCTCTGGCCCAGGTCAGCGTGTGTGTGTGTGTGGTGTGTGTGGGGTGCTTCAGGGACAGTGATTGCTCTACTTGATCATCTGCGGCCTCAGGCAGAGGATGGGCTCCCAGTGGTGAGGTGAGCAGGCGGCTGGAAGGTGGCCTGTGTCACCAGGCAGGGCCCAGGCCCAGGCGACGCCGTCTCTGTCCCTTCGGTGCCCGTGTCCCTGGTGCCTGCACCGTGGCCGATGGCCGGTTGGCACCGCCAGCCTGGCTTCGGGAATGTCCACTTCTGCGAGGCCCTGAGCCTTAGGCCCTCCTTCCTGACAGCCACTCGATGGGGCGGGAGGAAGGACGGTCGGCCAGGTGTGAGGTTAAAAACCCTCCCCCGAGCGAGAAGGCTCAGCGGGTGGGTCCGGGTCCGGGTCCGGGTCCGGGGGAGACCGATGCTTCTCCTCCAGGCCCCGGAGCAGGGGCGGGCGGGAGGCCAGGGGCTCCGGCGCTGCTGGCCGCCCCGGAGCCTCCGGCCAGACTGATGGCTGCCGCCGGCTGAGAAGGGGCTGCACGTTTGGTGTGAAGGACCCAGGGTGCTTCGTGGGAAACTGGCTCCAGCCCAGGGCCCTCAGCTGGCCGGACTCACTTAGCAGACAGTTAATGAGTGGGTCCAAGGTGGGCTCTGGCTGGTGTGGCTCAGGGAGAGGGTCTGCCCACACGCCGAAGGGTTCTGAGTCCGGTTCCAGGTCAAGGGCACGTGTTTGGGCTGCAGGTTTGGTCTGATCCCATAGGGCTGGTCGGGGAGCCTGTGGGAGGCAGAAAATTAATGTGTATCTCTCCCATCGATGTTTCTCTCCCTCCCTCCCTCCTTCCTTCCCTCCCTCCCTGATTAAAATTGGCTGCCCAGAAACCCTGAACGTCATACCCATGAACTTGGTACTACATCGGGGAGATTTGTGGCACCATGTGGCACTCAATGACCGAGTGACACATTGTGTCTTCATTTGCCTAGGAAAAACCCTCCCTCTCTCCCTCCCTCCCTCCCTCCCTCCTTCCCTCTCTGCCTTCCTCTCTCCCTCCCTCCTTGCCTCCCTCCCTCTCTAGAAAAATCATTGGAAAAAATATCCTCGGGTGAGGATCAACAGCAATAAAAATTAGTCCAAGGGGGTTGGGCTAATTTAGATCTTCGAGTGCGAATATATAATCTGAACTAAAAAAAAAAAGTTTACTTGTTCCTGTGATTTTGGACACGATGCTGTGAACAGGCTCTCAAAGGGATTTCTAGTCAAAAGAGTGGGGAGGCCGGATCCAGCTTCCGAAGGCTCCCGGGGCAGCGGGGTCGGGGTGCAGGGGGGCCACGGCTGGGGCCGGGGGCCTCGGGGAAGCTGTTGCCATCACCCGGGTGGAGGCCTGGCCCACGGGTGGACTTGGGGAACGTTTAGTGTTGATAAGGTGACCGGACATCCCGCTTCTGGCGAGACAGCCCTGACTCCCAACAATTTGTCCCGCGTCCCGTGGCGTTTTAAAACCATCCCGCGGGACGCGGGACAAACTGTTAAAAATCGGGACGTTGCCGACACCGGTTTGGCTCAGTGGATAGAGCATCGGCCTGCGGACTGAAAGGTCCCGGGTTCGATCCCTGTCAAGGGCATGTTTCGTGGTTGTGGGCACATCCCCAGTAGGGGGGAGTGTGCAAGAGACAGCTGATCCATGATTCTCTCTCATCGATGTTTCTAACTCCCTATCCCTCTCTCTTCCTCCAAGTAAAAACAAAACAAAACAAAACAAACTCGGGAGTCTGGTCCCCTTAGTGAAGCCTCCCGGGGCTTCCCCTCGTCAGGGATGGAGCTCCCCCGTGGGCTGTGGACTTACCTGAGCGTGTCTCCTCTTTCTCTCCCCAGAGGCGGAGGGCGACGTGCTGACCAGCAGGCCCGGCGCCAACGTGACCCTGACCTGCCCGGGCTGGCGGCCCGGAGACAACGCCACGGTCCGCTGGCAGCGCGGGCACCGCTGGGCCGGCGCGGGCGGGAGGCTGCTCCTGAGCGCCGTGCAGCCCGGCGCCTCCGGGGAGTATTCCTGCTCCCGGGCCGGCCGCCCGGCGGGCACCGTGCGCCTGCTGGTGGAGGGTGAGTTGTGCCCGCCGAGCTGAGGGGGCCAACTCCCGGCCAGCGGCTCTGCACCCCTGCACCCCCGGCTCCCTGCCTGACCCCGGCCACTCCTGTCTTTCCCTTGGGCCGTGGGAAGAGAGAACAATCCCCAAAAGAGGGGCTTTGGGGTCCCGCAGGCCTGCTGTGGGGTCTCGGGCAAGCCCACCCTCTTTCCAGCTTCCTTCTCGAACATGAAGGGACGGTCAGGAATCGTGACCTCTGCCAGCGAGGCGGGCGGGGATTCCCGCGGGGTGGGCGAGGCAGGCCGGCGGGTGCGGTGAGGGCTGGAGGGGGGAGCACCGGGCCTGCCTGTGGCTCCTCCTTCCCAGGTAACTTCTCGGCTCCTCAGGCTCCTCTCTGGGGAAGCAGGTTAACTTCATTACCTTCCCTCCGAGCCCGGGCAAAGATTAAGTGAGAGAGCACGTGTGCGTAGATGCACACGTGCACATGTGATGCTGAACCCTGCATCGTCCCACACCAACGCTCTTTTTCTTCCTTTAAAAAAAAAATAGATTTTATTGTGTGTTTTTTTACAGAGAGGAAGGGAGAGGGATAGAGAGTCAGAAACATCCACGAGAGAAACATCCATCAGCTGCCTCCTGCACCCCCCTCTCCTCCCCCGTACTGGGGATGGGCCCGAAACCAAGGTACATGCCTTGACTGCAATCGAACCCGGGGGACCCTTCAGTCCGCAGGCCGATGCTCTCTCTACCACTGAGCCAAACCGTTTTCGGCAGTGAGGTCCTTTCATTCCCCAGCCCCTGCGCGCGCGTGCGCGCGCGTTTGTGTGTGTGTGTGTGTGTGTGTGTGTGTGTGTGTGTGTGTGTGTGGCCGAGGCGCCAGAGCTGGGGGGCCGGTGAGCCGGGCTCAGCTGGGGGCTCTCCGGGAAGGCGGGGGAAAGCTCACCCCCGCCGGCGTGCCGCCCTCCAGGTCCCCCCGAGGAGCCCGCACTCTCCTGCTTCCGGAAGAGCCCCGTCAGCAACGTGGTCTGCGAGTGGAGCCCCCGCAGCCCGCCGTCCCCGGGCACCAGGGCCGTGCTGCTGGTGCGGAGGTTGTAAGTATCTGGTCTGGGGTCTGGGCTGTGCTGTGTCTGCTCATCCTTAAAAAAAAAAAAATTAGCCGAAACCAGTTTGGCTCAGTGGATAGAGCATCGGCCTGCGGACTCAAGGGTCCCAGGTTCGATTCCAGTCAAGGGCATGTGCCTTGGTGGCGGGCACATCCTTAGTGGGGGGTGTGCAAGAGGCAGCTGATCGGTGATTCTCTCTCATCGATGTTTTTCTCTATCCCTCTCCCTTCCTCTCTGTAAAAAATCAATAAAATATATTTTAAAAAAATTAAAAAATATATATATATAATTGATTTTTTTTTTTTTTTTTTTTTACAGAGAAGGAGAGCGATAGTTAGAAACATCGATCAGCTGCCTCCTACACACCTCCTATTGGGGATGTGCCCGCAACCAAGGAACATGCCCTTGACTGGGAACCTTGAGTCCGCAGGCTCACGCGCTATCCACTGAGCCAAACCGGTCGGGGCTTCTGACCATCCTTAATGGAGGCACTGGGTCGGGGGCTCTCAGAGGAGCCACGTGGTACTAGGCAGCCAGTGATTCCAGAATTTTACCCTCAGAAAACATTAGAAAATAATCCCTCCAGGATTAAGAGGAGGGAACAGAGAGAGAGGAAACCGGGCTGGGATACCTGTCCTGTCAACTAGGACACCTGCCGGGAAGTGGGTGTGATTTTCCTCTTGAACAGATAAACGGACGTTTCCGAGAAACTGATTTAAGAGAAACCGATTTACGTGTGTAAGGTCACCCTGCGGCCGCTCTGCTCGGAGCCCAGCCCAGAACTGATATGCGTTATTCAGCGCAGAGGTCGGCGTGTTGTCCTGAAGATGCAAATGGCCTCGGGAGGGGAGGGGAAGCCGCTCATTGTTGCCCAGGTGTCCGGGCCCAGGGAGCTTATCCGGAGTTTCCATGACAATGGCAGACGGAGGAAGTGGTGACCTGCCGAGAGGGGGCTGGAGAGGGGGCTGGAAGTCACACCAGCCGGGCGGTGGGGGGTGGAGGGGAGGGGCGGTGTCAGGTCCCTTTGCTCTAGGACAGGGGTCAGCAAACCGCGGCCCCAGAGCCACATGCGGCTCTTCGGCCCCTTGAGTGTGGCTCTCCCACGGCCTGGGTGAGTCTTATTTGAAGAAGCGGCGTTAGAAGAAGTTTAAGTTTAAAAAACGTGGCTCTCCAAAGAAATTTCCATCGTCGTCCTGCTGATCGTGGGCGAATGAGTTTGCGGACCTCGGCGCTGGGAGCCGGGATGCGTCCTGGCAGGGATGTGGAGGACGGGGAGATGCTGGAAACCAGCACACCGCAGTGTGTTCTGTCCCCACCCAGAGCCAAGGGCCCCCTCTTAGCCCAGGCGTCTCTGTTTGAGTTTGGGCTGTCGGTCACCAGAGGATCAAAAAGTGTGAACAGTGAGTTCAACCGGGTGATTCAGTTCCCGGGGTCGCTGCCTAGACCAGCCGATGGCAAGTTTATTAGAATACTTTGTGTGTTTGCTACTGTATTTTCACACACACACACACACACACACACACACACACACACAGAGAGAGAGAGAGAGAGAGAGAGAGAGAGAGAGAGAGAGAGAGAGAAAGAGAGAGAGAGAGAGTTTAGCTCACACCCTCCTCCTGACAGCAGCCTCAGGCATTCTGTCCTCCTCCTGGGTCCGGTGCCTCTGCCTTAAGGTGAGGGAGGAAGTGGGGTAGGGAGACTGTGAGAGCCTGGGGGACCCCACCATCCACTCAGGCCAGACTGGGACCCGGGCTGCGGGGTGAACAGGCCCAGGAGGGAGGAGGAGGCTTTGTGTGTGTCTGCTTTGTGCACACACCACACCCTCCCCAGCTGTGCTTGCTCACCATTCGCTCCCCTGGGTTCCTTCGGGGAGTCCGGCCCCGCTGTGGGCCGGGTTGTGGGATGGAGGAGGGGAGAGGGAGGAAGGGAAGCTCTAGCTCCCACTGGAAAGGCTGGGGTGGGCTTCCCGGAAGCTTGCTCTGGGCCTGGGGTTCAAACCCCTCACGGGAGGTTGGTGGGTGATGCATTACCCCCGAGGCGGGGCGGGCGGCTGCTGGGGCCTCGCAAGCCCACGCACGTCAGATGCGGGCGAGGTCTCGGGCTCCTGGGCCAGGCGGCCCGTGTCTGACTCACCTCCCATGTCCTCGGTCACCCAGCCTTCTTTTCCGGGCTCACCTGCCGGAAATGCTCCTGCCTCCCCCGAACCCTGGCACGCTGTGCTGCCGGATGGCCATTCTCCTGGCTGCCCCAGCCCCCCCACACCCTCTCCAGTGGCCAGCGGGCCTGCGTCAGGGAGGAAGGAGCCTTCAATTCATTTCTGCAGCCCCTGCCTTCCCAGGAGCACAGGACCTGGCAGAGCGCGCGCGCGCACACACACACACACACACACACACCCGTGTCAGCACCTTGGACCCGGGGGCCCCAGCTAGATGTTTTACACTCATTTTTTTTTTCTTTTTTAAATATATTTTATTGATTTTGTACAGAGAGGAAGGGAGAGAGATAGAGAGTTAGAAACATCGATGAGAGAGAGTCATCGATCAGCTGCCTCTTGCACCCCCCCACCGGGGATATGCCCGCAACCAAGGTACATGCCCTTGACCGGAATCGAACCTGGGACCTTTCAGTTCCCAAGCCGACACTCTATCCATTGAGCCAAACCGGTCCCGGCTACACTCATTTTTCAGTGAACCCTAACCAACCCCCACCAGGCAGGCACTACGGATATTCCCATGTTCAGACAAGCAAACAAAGGCTTGGAGAGGGTAATTTCCTCAACGTAGCGAGAGCCACCACGTGTGCAGTGGGGACCCAGCGGCAGGGCCAGCCTGCAGAGACCCCCCCTCTCGCCATGGCGTCCCCCAGTCCCGAGTCCTCAGAATCTGAGCGGGGCTGCTCTCGTGTTGTGTCGCAGCCAGTACGGGCCGGCGGAAGACTCCCAGGAGCCGTGCCAGTATTCCCCGGAGTCCCAGAGGCTCTCCTGCCAGCTGGCCGTCCCCGAGGGAGACGATGCTTTCTATATCGTGTCCCTGTGCGTGGCCAACAGTGCTGGCGGCAAGGCCAGCAGACCCCGCTCATTCCAGGGCTACGAGAACCGTACGTGAGCTCTCTTCGCCGCCTCCGCCCCTTCCTCTGCTTCCCTCTTGGGCTCCTCGGCGGGGCCGGGCGAGGGTGGGGGAGCTGGGGCCTTCGGGGCTTTCCTTGACCAGAAGTCAGACTGTGGCTGACCAGGGAAGCAGGGGAAGTGCTCGGGGCCGGGGTGGCATCCTGCTGTGGGGGTTTGCACAGCCTGGGGGTGGGGGGGCGGGGGTTCTGTCCTCGGCACCCCACGAGGGCACCCTTTTCCCACAGTGCAACCCGACCCACCGGTCAACATCACGGTCACCGCCGTGGACCGGAACCCGCGCTGGCTCACCGTCACCTGGCAAGACCCGCCCTCCTGGAACTCCTACTTCTACCGGCTGCAGTTTGAGCTCCGCTACCGGGCCGAACGCTCCAAGGAATTCACCACGTGGATGGTAACTCCTCCCCCTTCCTTCGGGATGGGAAAGGGCCCCTGGCTGCCCAGGGGCAGGAGAGAGGCTGCTGGGAAGAAAGCAGTGGGTGTGGGTCCTGTTCTGCACTCACCGCCGGGTGGCTCTGGAGAAGTGGGCGGGGGGCGGGGGGACACACGACACACACACACACACACACACACACACACACACACACACACACACACGGACCTTTCTGAAACGGAGGCATGCGCTATGACAGGGAAATGAAAACCTCCCCTTTGATAGATTAATTAAAGAAGTAACTGAGACTGGGATGCCAGGAGGCAGGCTTTTATTGGAGAGAGGGGTACCTCCGCCAGCTGCTTCCAGAGAGAAAGAGACCAGAGGGCACCCGGAGGATAGGGGATGGGGCTTAGGGTACTCAGCGCACCTGATTGGTGGTTAGGGACCTAGGGGCTTAGGAATCAGGGGCTCAGGGTATTTGGCAGGTGCTGATGGGTGGTCCAGTGCTCAGGTATGTCTGGCAGCAGGCGGGGTTTGCGTCTGCCCATCAGTTGAAGGAAGGGGGCTCTGTCATCCTCCACGGGCCTCTCCGTGAGAGTGGCGGAGTGACTGGGAAGCGCGTGGGGCTGTGAGCATGTCGGGGTGTGGCCGGCAGGGTTCCACAGTGCACGCGGGGGGGGGGGGGGGGCAGTGACTTCCAGCTTCTGCCTGTGTTGGCCCAGAGGGCGCCCGTGTTTCCCAGCCGCCGGGGTGACGGCAGCCCAGCCGCGTCCCCCGCTAGACCCGGGAGAGGGAGCGCCGAAGGGCGGGCGGCCCGGGCATCCGTGTCCCCGGCGGCGGCGGCGGCGAGTAACGTGCTCTGCCCCCAGGTCCCGGAGCTCCGGCACCGCTGCACCATCCGCGACGCCTGGAGCGGCAGGAGGCACGTGGTGCAGCTGCGGGCCCGGGAGGAGTTCGGGCACGGCCAGTGGAGCGAGTGGAGCCCCGAGGTCCTGGGCAGCCCCTGGACAGGTGGGTGCTGGTGGGCACGGAGGGAGGTCTCCGCTTGCTGCTGTATCGGCTACCCATGGCCACACTCGGGTTCAACAGAAACCATTTATCTGCTGGAGATTTTGGGAGTGCGTCGGCGAGGCGGCGCTCCTTGGTCTTGCCGGAGACGGAACGTGAGGTTGCGTCAGGCCTGCAGGACCCTGGGGGCCTCCCCCACGTGGCTGGCGGTTGGTGCTGGCAGGTGGCTGGGGCCCTGGCTTCTCGCTGGGGCCCTGGCTTCTCCCCAGAGCCTTCCAGGAGGCCAGCCCAGACTCGAGAACGGGAAATCATTTCACAACTTGATGGCGGGAGCCGCAAAGAATTTGTAGCTATATTTAATTTACCATCGTTACTAGTGAAAGGCCCTGGCCAGTGTGGCTCCGCTGGCTGTGGCTGGTTCAATTCCAGACCAGGGCACATGCTCGGGTGTGTAGGGGGTGTGCAGGAGGCAGACAGTTGATGTTCCACTCTCACATCGATGTTTCTCTCTCTCTCCCTCCTTCCTCTCTCCCTAAAAATCAATAAAAATATTTAAAAATAAGTAAATAGCCAAAACCAGTTTGGCTCAGTGGATAGAGCGTTGGTCTGCAGACTGAAGGGTCTTAGGTTCGATTCCGGTCAAGGGCATGTACCCTGGTTGCAGGCACATCCCTGGTGGGGGGTGTGCAGGAGGCAGCTGATTGATGTTTCTAACTCTCTATCCCTCTCCCTTCCTCTCTGTAACAAATCAATAAAATATATTTTAAAAAAAATAAAAATAAGTAAATAAAAACAAACGGAGATGTTAAAGGTAGTAATAATTGCCTTTGAGAGGAACGATTGAAATAAGTGTGTTATACACATGAAAAATTCCAGAAAAAAATATGAAGAATAATGACCAATGGTATTTTCCCAGCTAGAGAAAACCAGTGAGAACATTTTAGTATGCATTCTTTCCTTTGTGTGTGTGAATTTTATATGTTATATATATATATAAAACTTAAAAATATTGTGCACATTTCCATGTTATTAAATGTTACTAAATATTTTTGGAAATGTATTATTTAGTAATTGTATGATTAATGTGTGTTTTTTTAAACCCATGGGAATTAAAAATAATGTTTTTATTGATTTGAGAGAGACATTGATGTGAGAGAGAAACATCAACCAGTTGCCTCTTCTACTGGGGATCAAACCAAAAACCTCAGTTTGTGCCCTGACCAAGAATCAAACCCACGACCTTTTGGTGTACGGGATGACACTCCAGTCAACCGATCCAGCCAGCCAGGCCACCATTGGAATTTTTAATTTATTTTTATTTTATTGATTTTTTTACAGAGAGGAAGGGAAGGGATAGAGAGTTAGAAACATCGATCAGCTGCCACTGAGGATGTGCCCACAACCAAGGTGCATGCCCTTGACCGGAACTGAACCCGGGACCCTTGAGTCTGACGCTCTATCCACTGAGCCAAACCGGTTAGGGCTTGAGACATTATCTTTGGACTCTTTCCTGTGAAAGAGGAGGATCTAGCAGACCTAGACCCCGTGCAGAAATCGCTCTGCCCACAGCCCGAGCGGCGCCTCCCGCCTCGGCTTGCGTGCCTCCGGCGATGGCGAGCTCACTGCCCTCCATCCTGCATCCCCAGTGTCAGTGGAGGAGGACTCCCAGGCTTGTCTCCGGGTCTGATCTCTCCGGTTCAGTGTCATGAACCAAATCCGCCGTTCTTCAACGCTAAGCAACTTAAAAAGAGTAAATTGCTCCTCAGTGGAGTGCGTCTGGATAAAAAGGGAGAGACGGGAGTGACATCCACTGCCCAGGCCTGTCCGCCCCCCCACCCCCGGCTTCCTCCTCCTCCTCCGCTGGCCCCAGGCCCCGAGAAGACTTTATGTGGAGGCTGCACAAGCTTCCCCCCATGGGTGCTGGGTGGGATGGTGTTGCCTTGAACCTGGCTTTGCCGTTTGGGTGTCCTTGTCCTCCTTGTCCTGGGACAGCCAGCAGGGAGGGCTGGGCTGCACATGACCTCAAGTGCAGGTTCTGGGCATGATAATTCATTTTTAAGTTTTTGAGGAACTGCCATCCTGTTTTCCAAGTGGCTGCACCATTTTACATTCCTACCGGCCATGCACAGGGTTCCAATTCCTTCACTTCCTACTTTCTGATCTTCGTTGGAGCTTTCCCCTGCTCCTGTCCGGCAGCTTTTCACCGGACCCTTTTCTTCAGAGCTCCTTCCCCCTCAGACCGGACACGGAGGGAGGCCCCCTGCGCTGTCTTCCGCAGGGAAAGCATTTGTTTACGGGAACGACAGCCCCTCCGGTCCCGGTTGTCTGTGATCTGCTCGCTCTGTGAACCACTCGCTCCCTCCGTGAGCACGGGACGTGGCTGCGGCCTCGGGGGCCTTGGTGAGGCGAGAACGGTAATGACAGCGCCGCTCAGGGGAGGGGTCCCGAGTGCAGGCCCCACTTCCCTGTATTCCAGCCGCCGGACGTGGGTGGCCACCCGCGGCTCTAAGAAATCCCCTTTCTGTCAGGCCTTTGTTCCTTAAAAAAAACTTTTTTTTTGAATTGTGGTAAAAATATGCATAAGTTAAACTATTTTCACCACTTTTAAGGATATATATAGTTCCGTGCCACTGAGGACTCTCACGTGGTTGTGCAACCATCGCCACCCTCCATCCTCAGAGCTTGCTTCATCTTGGAGAACTGAAACTGTGCCCGTAACACTAACTCACCATTCCCCTCCCTCGGCCCCTAACAGCCATCTTTTTTTTTTTTTTTTTAAACATATTTTATTGATTTTTACGGAGAGGAAGGGAGAGAGATAGAGAGCTAGAGCGTCGATGAGAGAGAAACATCGACCAGCTGCCTCTTGCACACCCCCAACCGGGGATGTGCCCACAACCAATGTACATGCCCTTGACCGAAATCGAACCCGGGACCCTTCAGTCCGCAGACCGACGCTCTGTCCGCTGAGCCAAAGGTTTCGGCTGTTTGTTTGTTTTTGACAGCTATCCTCATGTGTGTGAAGTGGTATTGTAGTTTTGATTTGCATCTTCATAATGAACAGTGACACTGAGACTCATTTAAAAAAATATATATATATATATTTTATTGATTTTCTACAGAGAGGAAGAGAAGAGGGATAGAGAGCTAGAAACATCAATGAGAGAGAAACATGGACCAGCTGCCTCCTGCACACCCCCTACTGGGGATGTGCCCCCAACCCAAGTACATGCCCTTGACTGGAATCGAACCTGGGACCCATCAGTCCGAGGGCCGACGCTCTATCCACTGAGCCACACCGTTCTCAGCACGTTGAGCATCTTCATGCGCTCATCGGCCTCTTGTCTGTCTCTTGCAGAAATGTCTGTTTACGTAGGACGTTCTTTCTTATGTGAACAGCTCTGGCCTCGCTGGCCTCACCCTCTGGGGTCCCCCCGGACAAGCCTGCTCCCTGAATTCTTCGGGAATTCCCCGAGGACCTGCGCCTGCCTGGGCTCCGGTTCCCAGGCTGTGTGGGGGGGTTTGATGGGTTCCTCATCTGTTGGTGCGCCTTCCCCTGGAGCTGGTCTCCTCTGTGCTGTCCCTGTTCAAATTGTGGGTGTCCGCCCTGCGGAGGGAGGGGACACAGCGGGGACGGCTCTGCCCTCCAGCCTCGGGTGGCTGTGCTCCTGGGACGTGCTGGCCTGACCCAGTGAGCTCAGTCCGAACACGTGGCATCTCCTCCCATAAGCAGCCGAAGGGTTTGACCTCCCTGTCCTGCACACGTGTGCTTTTGGGGGGGGATCTTCAAAACCCCAGGAGTGACTAAATCCAAAAGCGAAACCAGCTGCTCCCCTCACCTCTTTGCCCCCCATCCTCCACCCCCCTGAGGTGGGGCTGCTGAGCCGGGCTTCCGCGGGTGCTGCCCCCTGGAGGCTGGTGCCTGGCTGCACACAGGCTGTGCTCCCAGGGAGCTTCCCCTTGTGAAGGAAAGGGCTCTGAGTCATAGGTCTTGGGGTCCCTGCTCCAGCCAGCACAGCCAGGTGAGGCTGACAGCACCTGTGCAGTGACTCACTGTGACTGTGACGGGCCCTGAGGGCAGGGCAGGGAGAAGGGGTCACTGATGGGGCAGTGGTCAGCAGCTCTCTCCAGAAACCACTGGCACCAGGTGCAAAGTGGGGCAGGGGGTCTGGGGAAAGCCCGTCGGACATGAGAGGGTTATTTCTTGCTCCTCACAAGTTCCTTTCGCTTTGCTTCTTGCCCTGTCCCCCTTCACCTAGGAAATAACGAGGACTGCATGTGACGGGCAGAGAGCAGAGTGGGCCCCTTTTGGGGGATCCCAGGGGTTGAAGGAGGTGCTAGAGGTTTGGGGTGTCCCAAGGCCAGGGCTGGGGACTCTCCAGGCAGGTGGGTCTCCCCGGCCCATGTATCCCTCTGGTCAAAAGCAGGTTTCCAGTTGTTCACATGGAAAATAATGCAGTAATTAACGAATAATAATGAGAAGAGTAAACGTGTTTCAGGGACTCACCACTGTGAGCCTGCTCTTGCCCGCCCTGTATTGTCCTCTGAACCCGCTGGCCGTCTCCTGCTGGGAGGCCCCTCCTCACTGAGCTTCTGTCTGTGTGGGAGCCATACTACCCACCGCTGCGACATCTTCCCAAATCAGTATCAGCCTGCACCTGTCATCCCCCCCCCCCCCCACAGCCCCGGCTCCCATTACTTTTCCCGAAATGGGGTGAGAATGCAGGCAAACGAGCCGTTTGGAACTGGCGTTAGTTACCCTGGTGCTAGAAGCATTAGTGGCATTTTATTAGTACGCTATTAGCATTATTAAATCCTATCTCCATTGAGCCCCAGTTCCTTCGTCTGGGAGATGGAAATGGTTATCCATAATGATACAGAATGGTCTGGATTAGGGACCCCCATGGTCCTCGGGGGAGATCTTTCAAAAGTCTTGTTATGTAAGACAGTTTTCTTCTGCATTAGAAGACTTCTATTCGTTCTGGGACGTTCCTGGGTTATTGAAATAACTCCAAACTAACCCTCCTCGCCCTCCACCCCCGGGAAACTGAGCCGCCGAAGGTAAAACGCCCTTCTCCGGACCAATGCCAGGATGGGGGTCAGAGCTGAGCATAGAAACTAGACAGGTCTCTTTTCCTTCCTAAAACATTTCTCTGGTTTGGGGAGTCTTTTAAAATCCCTGATGTCTGGCTCCTGTCCCCAGGATTCTGAGGCCATCGGACAGGGATGGAGCCTAAGAGGCCACGGGGAAGGCGAGCAGGGCTGGGTTTGGGAACCACTGGCCTGAAGGACCATCCACGGTCAGCCATGTTTTCTAAGCAGTGCTGCCCCGTCTCCTGGCGTCTGCTTCCATTCTAGCGCCCCCGTACCCTCCATCCCTCCATCCTTCCTTCAGTCACTCTCTGCTGTGAATCCGTCCTCTGCCGGGCTCGGCGGGGAGGAGCATAAAGGAAAAAGAACGAGGATCTTCCCGTTTATTCTTGGTTGACTCGGGGCCCACTTGCTGTGTGACCTTGGGCAAGTTGCTCTCCCTCTCTGGGCCTCTGTTTCCTCTGCACCATGGGAAGGAGGCCTGGACATGCTCGCATGTCCCCTCCAGTGGGTGGTGTTCTCTCCTGGGGAGGGCGCACTCTCCTCCACCGCTTACTGGTTATTTTGCTTTCGGCTCATTTGTGTAAACCGTTTCTCCGGAGTTTTTAACTTTCTGGTGGAGAAATGATAAACGGGAAAGAAAATACTTTTACGCTTCAGAGCACGCTACGCATTGCCAGGCCTGCTTTGGCTCCTGGTCCCTTGGGCCCTGCTTGCCGCTGAGCGCGGCCTCAGGTCACATGCGCACTTCGGTTCTTGGCCTCCTGCCGGCCTGGAGGTGTCTGCGGGAGCACTGTTCCCGTGGAGGGGGGGGGGGGGGGGCTCGGGAGGGTGCCTGGTCCTGCCGCTCGCTGCTCGAGCAAAGTGAGCGAGATCCACCCAGGAGGGTGAGAACTTGTTTATGTTAAATACTTTAAATCTATCTATCTATCTATCTATCTATCTATCTATCTATCTGGCTATCTATAAGTCTGTCTATCTATCTACCTACCTATCTATCAATATCTATCAACTATTTACAGTGTGTGTGTGTGTGTATGTGAGTGTCTGTGTGTGTGAGTGTCTGTGTGTGTGTCTGTATATACTTCAGAGAGGAAGGGAGAAGGAGAGAGAGAGAAACATCAATGATGAGAATCACTGACCCACTGCGTCCTGCACGCCCCCCATTGGGGATGGGCCTGAAGCATGAGGCCTGACTTCCCGGTTCACAGGTCAGTGCTCCCCCACTGAGCCAGGCCGGCGGGGCTGCGGAACTCTCTTTATTGCAGGAAGGTGCCTAGAAGGCAATGGACACGGGTTTATTTTTTAATTTTATTGAACATTCCCCTGTTTAATGAGAAGGAATGGCCATGCGTCGCTGTAGGACTGTAAGGCGGACGGCGGGAAGGTCTGATGGACACACGTCCTGACGTGATTGCCACAGTAGGCTTAGCTGACGCCCTTCGACCCAAGGAGGCACAATAAAAAGAAAAGAAAAAGGAGAAGAGGAAGTAGGGAAAACATGTCGCCTTGTGACGAGAACGCTCAGGGTTCACTCGTAGCGCCGTCCCTGCGGTCAGGAGAGGGGGGGCTTCGGAAGGACACAGAGCTGCCCTTTGTCCACGTGCGCAAGCCGCCGTGATTCACGCGGTAACAGTGCTCACCTCTGGTGGTGTGCGTCCTTATGTTATGGTATATACTGTGATATACCATAATATAGATTTATATACAGTATACATATTAATTTATATGTAGTATATACATGATGACATGAATATGTTTCTTTAACAATTTTGGATCCTGCCGAGGCCAGTTTGGCTCAATGGATAGAGCGTCGGCTTGGGGACTGAAAGGTCCCGGGTTCGATTCCGGTCAAGGGCATGTACCTTGGTTGCGGGCACATCCCCAGTAGGGGGTGTGCAAGAGGCAGCTGATCGATGACTCTCTCATCGATGTTTCTAACTCTCTATCTCTCTCCCTTCCTCTCTGTACAAAAATCAATAAAATATATTTAAAAAAAAAAAAACAAACAATTTTGGATCCAACTCTTTGGATTTTCGTCTTGCCTTGCATTTTTCACATGACCGTATAGCATGTCCTCAACATTTGTCTAAAATACTTTCTAAAGCTATTGCAGGAGCCCTGGCCTGGGGGATCGGGGGGGGGGGGGGGCAAGTGTGTTGGAGCTTCATCTCGTGCCACCAGAAGGTGGTGGGTTCGAGTCCAGGTCAGGGAACATACCCAGGTTGCGGGTTTGATCCCCAGTCAGGGCACATGCTGGAGGCAACCAACGGATGTTTTTCTTTCACAGTGAAGTCTCTCTCTCTCTTCTCCCTTCCCTCCCTTCCCCTCTCTGGGATCAATTTTTAAAAAAAGCGGTTCTAAAATATGGTTATATCGTCATTTATGTAGCTAGCCCCTTATGGTTGGGTATTTGGTTAATCCCAACATGGTGCCCTTTTATTTATTTAAAAAACATTTTTAAAAAAAAATTGATTTCAGAGAGGAAGGGAGAGGGAGAGGAAACATCAGTGATGAAAGCGAGTCACTGATTGGCTGCCTCCTGCTCGCCCCGTGGGGATGAAGCCGTCGCCTCCTGGTTCCTAGGCTGCAGCTCAGCTGCTGGGTCACGCCGGCCGGCAGCGCGATGCCCTTTTCGACCACATGGCGATGCATCTGACCCCGCAGCCCATCCGACAGGACTCCGGCCCGCCGTCATTAACAATATTCTTCTGTCCACAGAGCCCACGAGCTTTCCAACCGTGCTCCCGGTGGAGGCGACCTCCTCCGAGCAGGTGAGCTCGTGTTCTTGTCCGAGGGCCGCGCCTCCCGGCTGGCGCTGTGGCTGGATTCCTTTAAACCCAGCTCGGCCGCTTCCTGGCAGCCTGGCTGTGGGCAAGCTCTGTGTCCTCCCGAAGGCGCTGTGAGGCAGGGCAGGGCAGGGCAGCCCTCGATCCGGGCTTTGGTGAAGCGGAGAGCCGCGCGGGGCTGGCTCCCTGAGCTGCTGACACCCGGAGGCTTAGCGTGCGATTCCGAGTCCGTTCCTCCGAGCCCTTCCCTGCAGACTCCTGGTGTCCTGATGATCCGGAAAGAGGATTATTGCCGAAGCTGCTTAAACAAATCCTCGAGTAATCCAATTTCGCTCCCAGCGGCATCTCCTCCGGGGTCCCTGATTCCCAAACGCTGAGCGGGGAGGCCCCAGGCGCCGAGACCCGGCAGCACAGGGCGGATGGAGCCTGGGTCTGGCACCTCACCCACCATCAGTGCCGGCGGGAGCAGCTCCGTGGTGAAGTCCAGGCCCTCGGGCCAGCGCTCCTGGCACGGGGGGCAGGGTCACGGACTGGCCCCAGGCCCTGAGCCTTGCGTGTGCTGTCTCACCGATCCTACGTGCACTGAGGTTCAGGGAGGAACACGGACACCCACCTGGGTTAGGAAACCTGCCCACGGCCACAGAGCACAGAGCTGGGCGTGGTGGACCCGGGATTCTAGCCTGTGATTTTCCTGGTCGGGTGGTGCCTGTGCCCCGGACCGTCGGACGGCTTAGGCTCTTGGTGGAGTGGCCGATGGGAAGAAATCCCCGCCTTGGGTAGCAGGGTGTGGATGCAGATGATGCCAAGAATCCCGGAAATGTTGAAAGGGACAGGTCAGAACTGGAGAGGAGCGTGAGATAAAGGAATGGCTTGGGGTGGGGGCTGAGGAGGTGCCCGAGCTGGGTCTGGAATGAAGGTGGAATTGCAGACGTGAGCTTACAGTGAGGAATGTCTTCTACAGGCACCTACTCCCGACCGAGACGACGGCAACATCTCCTCACACTATTCCGCCAACACGACCAGCTTCCCAGGTGAGCCCAGAGGGCTTTGATTTTGTGGCCTAAGAGGCACCAAAGGCTTGTAACTCTAGAGAGGGCTTTCTTTTCTTAAAAAAAAAAAAAAAAAAAAAAAAAAATTATTGATTTTTTTACAGAGAGGAATAGAGAGTTAGAAACATCGATGAGAGAGAATCATCGATCAGCTGCCTCCTGCACACCCCCTGCTGGGGATGTTCCCGTCACCAAGGTACATGCCCTTGACCGGAATCGAACCTGGGACCCTTGAGTCCGCAGGCTGATGCTCTATCCACTGAGCCAAACCGGTTAGGGCAGAAAGTGCTTTCTTATTGGGAATGTCGGCAGGGGGCCAGTCTGCTTCACGGAGAGGACCAATGGCGGGAACATTCTGTTATTGCCTTGCATGTCCCCGTTGGATGTTGTTGGCGGAGGTGTGATGAGGGACCACGAGAATAATGAGGCAAATCCGAGAACTGTTTCACAGCCGGCTCTTGCCCAGCTCGGAGTGGGGTCTCGGCTCAAAGGATGGGGCCTCATCTCATCCGAGACCCCAAGGCCGAGGAGAACTGGAGGGAACGGGTGCAGTGACGGTGGGAAGTGTTCCCGGGGAGATGGGAGACCCTGAGCGGAGCGCCCCGGGACAGGGGGGGGGCGGGGGCGGGGAGAACAGGGCATGTGAAGAGCCAGTGGAGAGCCTCTGGCTGGGGCTTGGCTACCAAGCGGGGAGACAGGCAGAGCTGACGCCCGCGGAGAGCACTGCCCCAGACACTTGACTTAAAGCCCTGGGCCTCCCTGGCATCGTCCTCACTGGAGCTGCCATCACTGAAGCCCCGTCTGTGCCTTCGGGGGGCAGGCTGAGCACCCCCAGAACAGCCCCCTGAAGGGGAGTGGGAGCCTGGGGCCACGGGTGCCAGAAGCTCTGACCGTGGGGTGGGTCTCCTGCCGAGTGGCAGGATCCTGGGGATGGTCAGACTGCCGGGAGGGAATCTTCTGGGGTGGCTTTGGCCAGAACACGGCAGGAGGCCTGCTGGAGAGCAACACTGCTTCCTCCTCCGGGTGAGGGTTCTCGGAGACTTCTGATGGCACCAGCTGAGTGGTTTATTTTTTCTCTCCCCCCCGCCCCCCCGCAGTGCAAGAGCCTCCAGTGCCGGTGTACACATTCCTGGTGGCTGGAGGCAGCCTGGCCTTCGGAACCCTCCTCTGCATCGGCGTGGTCCTGAGGTGAGGGGCCCCGGGGGCGACCCTGGGTGTTCGCCTGTTTCTTACCTTGCCAGCTCCGCCTGTGCCGGGCGGTGGCCGTGAGCGGAGAGCCACAATGGCTCAGGGTGCACTTCAGAGGTGGGATTGACAAGATGCGATGGCAGTAGAGGAGGAAGGAGACGGAGGAGGGAGCCACGTCTGACCCTCACGTTTCTGGCTTTGGCAATTGGGCAGATGGGGCAGCGGGGAGGGGGTGTGTGTCACCCATTAAAATGGGAAACGCTGGAAGGAGAACCTTGGCGCGGGAGATGACGATGCTAGTTTGGAAGCACTGAGTCGGAGGCAGTTCCGGTTGCTGCTGCATGCAGGTGGTTGTCGGAGAGGAGTAAGGCCAGTGGCCGTGCCCTGTGGGTCCCAGGGTTCTGACGTGGGATTGAGGAGGAGGAGGAGTGAGAGGAAGGGGCCGAGGGAAAACCTGGCTGGGAACACCGGAGGGAGAGGGAAGGAAAGCTCAGGCTCTGGGGTTGCGAAGGGAATATGACTCTTCCCCCGGAGCCACGTTCTGAGGCGGTTAAAGTATTATAGCACTCGAGGACATCAGCCTGCACACAGTGATCTCTGGTGCCTGGCCAGCCTCCGGAGGACTATTCCATGTCTCCAAACAAGCAAACCCTAGCCCAGCCAGTGTGGCTCAATGGTTGGGCATCGACCTATGAATCAGGAGGTCGTGGTTCGATTCCCGGTCAGGGCACAGGCCCGGGTTGCGGACTTGATCCCCCGTGTGGGGGTGTGCTACGAGGCAGCTGATGGATGATTCTCTCATCATGGACGTTTCTCTCTCTGAAATCAATACAAATATATTTAAAGACAAAACCAAAACACAAGCAAACCTAGAGGGTCCCCTGTAAATGCCCGATGCCAGTGCTCACCTCTGGCCACTTTTAGGACACAGGCAGGCCGAGCAGGCACCTGCCACTGCAGCGCCAGGCCCATGCGTCCCAGTCTCTCTCTGTCCCTCCCGAGCTTGCAGACCAACCAGCTCACGGTGCTGTCACCGACGGGCAGTGAATTCAGCACCCCGGGCTCACGGTGCCCCATCAGGAGCCTGCACCCCTGCGTGTGCTGAAGCCCGTGGGGTGCTAGGCGGGGCCCTGGCTTTGGGTGGTGGTTCGTTACCGTGATGATGCGACGGAGGAGGAACGTCTCTGTCCTCCTCCCTCTCGCCTTGCGTGCCACTCTCGGGAGACTCCAGTGGATGATTGTGGGAGGTGGTGTGTGAGGGGGTTGGGGAAGGAAGGGTGAGAGCTTGGCAGAGAGAGTCCCACGCGTGGGCTCGCTGGGTCCTCGCCGTGACCCAGACGTGGCTGGACCGTTGAGGCGGTCCGGGTCCGGAGGTTGGCGAGACGGCAATGCCGTGTGTTCAGGGCTGTTTCCGCTTCGGTTTCCCAGGGAAGCAGGAGGCACGTTGCTGTGTGTGCAAACGCTGAAGCTCCTGGTGAGTGGAGGTGGCTACTCGGAGAAGCTGGGGACTCACTGTCTTTTAATTTGGGGTCAGAGAGAGGTCACCCCAGCATGCAGGCGTCTCCTACAGCCTTCGGGGGATTCCCTGCTCGCAGGCACGGATTTCTGTTTCTGTATCCTTAGAGCTTCAACAGGCCTTTCTCTTAACTCAGCGGTCGGCAAACTCATTCGTCAACAGAGCCAAATAACAACAGTACCACAATGGAAATTTCTTTTGAGAGCCAGGTTTTTAAAACTTACACTTCTTCCACTGCCACTTCTTCCACATAGACTCGCCCAGGCCCTGGTATTTTGTGGAAGAGCCACCCTCAAGGGGCCAAAGAGCCGCCTGGGGCTCGTGAGCCGCAGTTTGCCGACCACGGTCTTAACCTATCACAGGCCCCATGGAGTAAATGTCACGATCCCCACTTGACAGGTGAGGAGATGAAAGCTGAGAAGTGGAGTGATCACCACTAGTCACGCCAAGGCCAAGATTTAAACCCAAAGTGCTTGGCCTTGGAGGCCATTTAGTCAAATTCTCCAATGTTACGTATGAGGAATCAGCCTCAAGAGTTCAGATGATTTGCCTTAAGGACACGGTTTGTTACCAGCAGAGCCAGGACTAGAACTCACGCCCTGAGAGTCCCAGCCAATCCCGCTAGCCTGCTGCCTGCGAAGCGGTGGGCCAGTTGGTGCTAAGCCCGCGTGGGCTCCGTTTACAGCAGTGCCATCCTGGGGGCTGTGCATCGCTGACGGAGCGTCGGCTGGGAGCTGGCCACAGCGCCGTCACAGACCTGGTTTGCCAATGTGCTGATGGTGCTGGCGCACTGGCTGGTTGCTACACAACCAGGGTCCCCAGGGCCGTGTGCTGGAAACATTGGTAATTTATTTCCCAGCCTGGCGAGCTCCCATGTTCGCCCGGGTGTGGCAAACTTGTTGGAAAAAGGGCCAATTACTTCGAGCGATGAAAACCCATCTGTTCTCCAAGTCCCTCAGGTCAGAGGCGCCGAAACGGCTGAGCCCAGGACTGCTGGGACGGCCACGTTACAACAGGCAGGATGAGAGGGGCAGCGGGAAGCACAGCCTGACAGTCCCTGGGACCGTGTTTTTCTCTCTAACACGTCTGTTTGGCATTTCAAGCAAAGTATCTTCCTAGCTATTTTCCACGAGTTATCAGGGATAATTTTTTTAAAACTTCACGTGTGCCACCCAGAAGGATGGGCCATCTTCTTTTTTATTTTATTTTTTAAATAGATTTTTTATTTTATTTTTACAGAGAGGAAGGGAGAGGGATAGAGAGCTAGAAACATCAATGAGAAACATCGATCAGCTGCCTCCTGCACACCCCCCCCCCCCAAGGGGGATGTGCCCGAAACCAAGGTACATGCTCTTGACTGGAATCGAACCTGGGACCCTTCAGTCCTCAGGCCGATGCTCCATCCACTGAGCCAAACCGGTCAGGGCCGGGCCACCTTCTTCAGTGGATGTCATGTCCTTCTCCCCACCCTGCTCCCTCGGCCCGCGCTTTTCCGTCTCCATGGCATGCACTGCCCTCAGAAACGGGGTTCTCACACAGACAATTCTCTCTCCGTGCGTTTATCTACAATGGCCGGCACTGTGAGTGAGGACTTCCTGTGTGTCTGTGCCAGTGATTGAGAAAGTTTTGTATTGAAGGTAAAATCTCCTTCCAGTATTTAAACGTCACAGACTCTCTCACCTTCAGGGGAGAGGAAGGGAGAGAGAGAGAGAGAGAGAGAGAGAGAAATAGAAACACCAGTGATGAGAGATAATCATTGATCCGCTGCCTCCTGCACGCCCCCTCCTGGGGATCAAGCCCGCAAACCATGACCTCTTGGTCCCTAGATCGATGCTCAACCACGGAACCACCCTAGCCAGGAACCACGGTTAATTTTTTAAAAATGTAAAGGTGCTAGAAGGCTAACAAACAAACAGGCAGAAACGTGCCCACGTCGTGAATGTACGTGAATGTTCGCGAGGTGAACACACCCAGGCAGCCACCTCCCCGACCAAGAACAGCTCGGAGTGCATGGCTGTCCTCTGAGTCTTTCTCAAACTCCGCGTAATGTCTTGTTTGGCTTTTCAGTAGCGATGATTTTCCTGTAACTAGAACTCTGATTCCTGCCCCTTAAATTTAGTATTGATTACAACGTAAGCATTGGCCGCACTATTACACGTTCCTTGCAAGCCTCGCTTTCTTCAGCTGCCGACTCCTCCGTTGGAGACATGCCCCCACGTCCACTGGCCCAGCCTCCCGCCGGGCATGTGGGTGGGGGGTCTGCGTGAGGAAAAGCAGGGTGGACCATCTCTGTGCATAAAATGTTTCCCGAAGTGAGGTGCTTTCCCGGGGGGCACACTCCCCGGAAGTGGGATTCCTGGGCCTGAGCCTCGGAATCCTTTGGAATCCGGAGCCTGATGGTTTTGTCCCCCGCCTTCTCAGACAGGCAGAGAGCTCCATCCCAGGGCCTGGCACAGCTCCAGTGAGATCCTGTTGCGCTCCGTCCCGGCAGGGCCCTCTGGAATATTCTATTGCTGGTTTATTCCATTTGGAAAAATGGCTAAGAGCCAGTGCAGATCTGGAGCCAGCTATCAATGATCACAACAAGGACAGAAATAGGTTTTTTTGTTTTTTTGTTTTTAATATATATTTTATTGATTTTATACAGAGAGGAAGGGAGAGAGATAGAGAGATAGAAACATCGATGAGAGAGAGTCATCTGTCAGCTGCCTCCTGCACACCCCCTACCGGGGATATGCCCGCAACCAAGGTACATGCCCTTGACCGGAATCGAACCCGGGACCTTTCAGTCCCCAAGCCGACGCTCTATCCATTGAGCCAAACCGGTTTCGGCAGAAATAGCTTTTTGATATAAAGAGAAACCCAAGGAAAATCTCCAAGCTTTGTGTTTTTTTTTTTTGTTTTTTTTTTTAAATAAATAAATATACTTTTATTGATTTCAAGAAGGAAGGGAGATGGAGAGAGAGAAACATCAATGATGAGAGGAGGAATCATTGATTGGCTGCTTCCTGCCCGCCCCCTCCTGGGGATGGAGTCCCCAACCCAGGCATGTGCCCTGGGCTGGAATCAAACCCTTCAATCTGGAGGTGGATGCTTTATCCACTGAGCCAAACCGGCTTAGGGTTCCAAGCCTTGACTTTGGCTTTGGTTTCCCCTGCTGCCTCCAGGCCTCCCTGGGGGAGCGGACCCCGGGGGGCCCGAGGGAGACCCCTTGCCCCCGCAGCGGCCTGTCGGTGGCAGTGAGTGGGTGAGGGACACCTTGGGGGGCAGGAGGGAGGGGATGGGGCGCCCTGCAGTCTCACAGCCACCGGGCCCCTCAGGAAGGAGACCTGACTGTGCCTTTGAAGATTGCTATCGCCACCCCAGCTGCCTTTCCCCGGCTGTCAGGTGACTGCTCAGGGGCTGAGCCGTGGCGAGGGGCCCAGCACGCAGGGCGAGGGAAGCTGTGATCAGAGAGATGCCTATCTCCTTCCTGTTTAACATCCACTTTCCTGTCAGATGAGTCACTTGTGCCCGCGTGGTGCCCACGCCGTGGCTGAGAACTCACCGGGTGGTGGAGTGGGCCCGCGGTCTACGGAGGGGTGGGGGGGTGGGGGACGGGGGTGTGGGCCGCAGGAGGAACAGGAGGGCCGTTCAGGGAGCAGGTGGCCCTTTTCCGCTGTGAAATGGCAGCTGCCAGTGACCTGCCTCCTGCCCGCCTTCCTTCCACGGAGCAGCCCGTTCTCCTTCCCCACCGGAAGAAGGCGCTCTCTCTCTTTTTTTTTAATATATATTTTACTGATTTTTTTACAGAGAGGAAGGGAAGAGGGATAGACAGTTAGAAACATCGATGAGAGAGAAACATCGATCAGCTGCCTCTTGCACACCTCCTACTGGGGATGTGCCCAGACCGGAATCGAACCTGGGACCTTTTAGATGCTCTACCCACTGAACCAAACCGGTCAGGGCTCTGTCTGTCTCTGTTAAGTCCATGGCTGTGGGGCCGAGGTTCTCCGTGCTGCAGAGGGGTGTTCACGGCCACGTGTGCCTCGGCGTCTCCCATCTGTCAGCGGTTAGACCATACAGATCTATTCTCTCGGGGTGTCTTTGGAACCCCCAGCTCCTCAGGGTGTGGTGTTAAGGCCTGGTGATAAGAAGAGGGGGCGGGATGGATAGTTATCCCTCTTCTGAGCTGGCACGGGGCGGCCAGCTGCCGGAGTCTCTCACTCCGGTGTGTCGCGGGGGCACTGACCTCTGTGCGGTGTGTGTGTCTCTGTGTCTGCAGGTTCAGGAAGACGTGGAAGCTGCAGACCCTGAAAGAAAGCAAGGCCAGCATGCACCCGCCGTTCTCCTTGGGGCAGCTGGTCCCCGAGAGGCCGAAGCCCACCCCGGTGCTGGTCCCCCTCATCTCCCCGCCGGTGTCCCCCAGCAGCCTGGGCTCGGATAGCACCTCGCAGCACAGCCAGCCCCGGGCCAGCGGCCCACAGAGCCCGTACGACGTCAGCAACAGAGATTACTTCTTCCCCCAGTAGCGACCGGCGGGCGGGGGTCGGGCCGCTGAGACGCGTGGGTGACAAAGCACAAGCTCCGCTCAGTGCGTGGGGCCTCCCGGAGGTTCTACGTGGGGCGAACACAGGCCTGCGGCCTGACCAGAAGGAAGAGATGGCTGGGTTTGTGAACCGCTCTTCCCCACAGCCCCGCCCGCCCGCCCGCAGGGGTTCCCGTGGACGTGGGCCCCGGGCAGGGGGTGCTGTCGAGTCCACCGGACGCCCGGGCGGGCGGGCAGAGCCGGGCGTCTGCAGGGGCCTCGGACCCGGGGCTTCGTGCGGACAAGCTGCCGGCTCCTGCTCCCTGGACCTGGCTCCACATGGCGCCCCCTCAGGAGGTGGGATGGGTTTCCAGCCAGACACCCCCCACCAGTCGCCTCTCTCCGGGCCCACGGCACAGCTGCACCTTCTAGCTCCGACTCTGGAAGCCCAAGTGCCTTTGTGATTCAGCCGGGGGAGCTCTGGACCGTCTTTCCTCCCCTCCCCACGCTGGATACGCCTGCCGGCGTGGACAGCATCTCAGGGCCCGGTGGTCTGAGTGGAACGGCCAGGGGCTCCTCGTTAGCACGCTGCTCACTGAATGCTAACCCCAAGCACCTGCTGAGCCCGAAGCCACCGCAGGGACTCTTTCCCTCTCTGCACCCCAGGACGCGAGGGGGAGAGAAGCAGGGGGGTAGGGGCGTGGCGACAGGGTCTCCACGGACAGTTACAGCCTCTGAAAACCACTGTTCTCCTTCCTCGTGCTCCCCGCTCCCCTGAAAGGAGAACAGCATTGGGGGAGGGCTCCCGCCGTTGGGGGGGGAGGGCAGGGAGACCAAACCGTTGGACTGTTTATTGTGTTTTCACCTGAGCCTGAGTCCCCAGGAGAGAACGTGTTTATGTGAAAAGACAGGAGAATGTAAGCTGACGGGGTCCTGACAGAAGCGCCGGCCGCTTCTCCCCGAGCGCGCCGTGGGCCGTGTGGCGGCCGTGGCGTCTGCAGGTAAACAGCTCGGGGAGAGGCCGGCGCTCCGTCTGCCGCGGAACTGAGTCAGATGAGGAGGAGGAAACAGAAACGAGTCTCCCCTCTTAGGGGAGAGACTCTGGTTTCATCCTAAATTCTGTTTTTGTCTTAAGCGTGAAGGACCGTGCCCGCTGCCTCTGGTTTAAGGGAAGCGCAGCTGCGGCTCCTCCCTCCCCCGGCGCCCGGCTTCCGGGCTGGTGTTGGGAAGTGGCCTCCCCCGGCTGCCCAGCAAGGTCAGTCCAAACCCCCACCCCGAGAGCCAGGAGCCCGGCTCCCCGGGGGCAGGGGGATTCCTGGTCTCCCCCACCCCCTCGTCTTCAGTTCCTCGAATTGGACTCAGTTCAGCTGAAGGTCTCGCTTGACTCTGAATGCCAGCCCCCTTCGGCTCCCTTTCCCGCCGGGCTGAGAACTCAGTGGTGAGAGGGGTTCCCCAGACAAGTACCCTCCGCGCCCCGGGGCGCCCCGGAAGGAGGCTGAGATTGGAATCCGGGGGGTAACCGAGGACCACACCTTGGCCAGACCACAGCCTTTTCTGAGAAACCACCACCAGCTCCGGGCGGGCGGCAGAGGGCGAACCTCACCGCCTTTATGTGCTGGCTGTGGGCTCACGTGTGACTGCGCTGGGCAGTGGTTTTGACTCGCGGGTCAGACCCCACGGCTGCCTTCGGCGGCTCTTAAGGGAGACGGAAGGCAGGCCGGCAGGCAGGTGTGTGTGTGTGGTTTCTATAGATTCCCTGAGAACAGCAAAAGTGCTGTTCAAGGGAAATATTCGATAAAACCACACACTCACACGAAAAACGAGACTGCCTGAGAGGGTGATTCTGCCCCCGGTTCTCGAACGCTTGGTAAAGGTTTTAACCGCAGCCCCCGTCCCCGGAGCGGGAGGCGCCGGCTGTGGGAGATGAGAAATCAGATAGCTCAGGAGGATGAGAGCCAGGCAGCTTTGATCTCCGAATTGTTATTGCTTTCATTATTATTGTAACGGAACTGCTTTTTTTTTTTTTTTTTTTTTTAATTGAAGAGGTTTTGGTTTCTCCCCCCTCACATGTGTATAAGCTAGTGTACATGAAGGAAAGTGTGTGTCGTTGGGTTGTGGGCGTTGCTCGGTGGGCACAGGTGGACCCCGGACGCATCCTCTGTCCTCGGACCTGTGGCCCGTGACCCTGCGTTGTCACCTGTGTGTCTGCAGCTCACCCAGAGTCTGCCACCGCCGGGGTGAGAGGTCGGCCCGCTGACCGTGGATGTTAAACGTGACAACGCACCCTTCTGGGTTGGGAGTTACAAATAAGCTGGCTCCAGGCTACACTGACACGGTCCCTCACCCTTGTAGCATTAAGAAACTGTGTGTGCAGAGGTCCATGGGGCGGGTGGGCCGTGCCTGTGAGGCCATTGAATGTAACTCGGAGAGCTTTTAACCCCGGGCGCCGCCCAGGCCCCGCTGGTGTTGTGCCAGGCGCTGCGCTCCCTCTGTGTGGATTTCCCCGCTCCCCTGGGGAGGGAGGGTGGAGGCAGGAAACGCCATCCTAAGGAGTGGAGTCTGCTGCTGGCCCTGGGGCGGGAGTCCACCTGGTGGCCAGCTGGGCCCGTAGAGCAGGCGGCAGTGGCCGTGGGGGCGGGCTCCTGCAGGACGTCCAGGAGTGTCTTGCTCTGCGGCTGGGCGCTGAGCTGCATTGCCCCCTCGGAGGTAGACTCCGCTGGGGAGGAAGTTGGCATCCAGCTCCCAGTGGAGTTGGTGAGGAATTGACCGACCGGGAGCATGGAACCTAGCTTCCCCCATGGGCAGCGACTGGAAGGCCACCTGGCCCCCGTCCTGTGCCAGACGCTCCTGAGCGCCCCCTAGAGGTCCTTGCTGCAGTATAGGCGCAGGTGTGTTTCTATGGCAACCTTCATGATTTTTTTTTTAATTTGCTAATTTTAATTTTAATTTTTTTTCCCCATCACGGCTGGCATTCAATATTATTTTGCAACCTTAATGATTATTAAGGAACGTTGCCAGTGGTATGGACATATGCTCGAACCAAGCTCTGCTTTAGAAGGGACGGATTGGGACAGCATGTAGCAAAGGCTGTGAATGAGTAGGGAAACGGCTTTTGGATGGCGATCACACAACTGCGAAATACCTCGACTTTCCTTTTGGAGATGAAAATAATAGTTTTTTAAGTTTCTATTTTTTTACCTAATTACCTAAGAGCAAATGCCAAAGGCTGATGTCTGTATATGGGGCAAAGGGTCAGTATAATGTGTGTTTCAATGTGGGTTTTTTGTTTTGTTTTGTTTTATCAGCTATTTTTGCATTGAAAGTGGAAATTGTGTTTGAAATAAACAATTCCTAAAGCTGTGCTTGGGATATAATTATAATGTGGGCACCTGGGTCCTTGGGAGGAAAGCTTTCCCTGGGGAAGGAGCGGGGAGGAGCGAGAAACGATGGGTGTAAAACGAAAGTGGAACCATTGTGTTTGGGCGGGCCGCCCCTTCGTGCAGGGTGAAATTACCTCTGGGAAAAATGAGGTTCCTTTAAAGAAATAAATAGCAGTTTCTCAAAAAGACACTAATGAGTTTCCCAGAATGCACCCTGGGGTTTCTGGAAGGGGTGTGGGCGTGTCTGCCCGGCTCCCCAGCGCTCCCACCGGGCGTGCGGGAGGACCAGGGGGGACCGTTACTCAGCGGGAGACTGTTTGCGGGGGGGGGGGGGGGGGGAGGAAAGAGGGGGGGGCACGCATTGGCAGCCTCCTGGTCCTCCTCAGTGGCCTGGAGAGTCCCCGTCCTAAAGGGTCCCGGGGAGGAACTTCTGGGCCTCGGGCCTCCTGCCCGCACGCTCCGGACAGGGAAGCCACCGCGGGGGCGCTCTGGGGGTCCGAGGAGCCGCGTCACCAGCTCAGGGCTCGGGAGGAGCTCCCCGCATGGGCAGGCTGGTCACCGGGTAACTCGGACTGAACACAGCGAGGTGTGGGGCCCCACGGTGCACCCCCCAGTCTCTCCCCGGGGAGAGGAGAGGGGAGCCCTGGGACCCAGCCTGCACAGGGCCTCCGTGAGGGTCTCCTCTGAGGCGGGTCCCTGTCGTGCAGAAAGGGAACAGGAAGCAGGCGGCCCCGTGGTGGCCGGGCCGAGGGGCGCAGGGGTGGGCGTGAAGAGCAGGAAGTGGGGGAAGGCCCCTCTGCCCCACGGCATCGCTGCTGGGACGGCACGGGGAGGGGAGTCGGGAGAGCAGATGCGGTCCTCGCTGAGCATGGTGAGGAGCTCGGCTGATGGGAACGTCTGCGAGGAGGTGGGTCAGAGGTGGAACCTGCCGTCCGCAGCAGCAGAGGGTGCTGCTTGCTGGAAGCTGCGGTGACGGGCAGGTCGGAGGCCGGAGGGCAGGTGTGTGCCCCGTGGCTTAGGCAGCGGCCGCCCACCGGTGGTCCGTGGGCGGGAGGTGGGGTCCACTGGCTGAGACAGGCCTGGGCAGTGGCAGCGAGCCCGGCTCCGTCCTTCCAATGCTGGCCAGCCCCGGCTTCCTTAGGCGCGTTCCCGTCTTCTGCACGGCGACGTCGCCTAAAAAAGCAAGGCAAGCCCTGACCGGCTTGGCTCAGTGGATAGAGCACCGGCCTGCAGACTGAAGGGTCCCAGGTTCGACTCCAGTCAAGGGCATGCACCTTGGTTGCGGGCACATCCCCGGGAGGAGGTGTGCAGGAGGCGGCTGATCGGTGTTTCTCTCTCATGGATGTTCTATCCCTCTCCCTTCCTCTCTGTAAAAAAAACAACAACAATAAATTATATTAAAAAAAGAAAAAGCAAAACCAAGTAACAAGCAACGATACCTCCGCCTTATCTCGTTTCATACCAACAGCTGGAGGCGACAGTCTGAAACACGAATGAAATCAAGCTTTTCAGTAAAATCATTTATAACTGATTCAGTGACACATTGAACCAGGGATGCTTCATGGGAGCAAACAGCTGCACCCCGGCCCCAGGGGCTCCCCAGAAACCCACAGAACCCCTTTGG